GAAAAAAAAAAAAAAAAAAAGTCTGCCATGTGGCGTTGTGTACATAGGATCCGCCATTTGTAGTATACGCGTTGAGCGCCAGGTGGGTGGTGAGTGCCAAGAGAGGGAGGAGGCAGCAGGAGAGAAGGAGGAGCAGGCGAGGGAAGAGGTTGACAGCCGAACTATCTATTCAAATCAACGAACTTGATCGAGGAGGAGGAGGGCTCCCATTGGAAGTCATACTGATCATTAGCAAGGCACATCGGTGATTGGTGCCCTTTGGTATTGCGGAAGGCAGAGCTTTGACACGCTCATCGACAGTCCGTCCAGTGACGCCTTTCATTGCCCCTTGTTCGCCGGTGTGAAAGGTCGAGTTGCGGCGAAGGCGAAGCGCAACCATCGAGCACCCCATCGGGAGGGCGCCCCGGAGACGGAGATGGGATCGAAAGGTATGGTACGGAAGCCTTTTTTTTTATTTGTGTCGTGACTTTCCATTGCATGTTTTTCACCCCTGTCTTTCCTCCGATGGTCCGGCGTCGTCAAGGCGCCAGACCATTGGATGGTCCGGCGTCGTCGAGGCGGCGGACCATCGAGGCGTCAGGCACACCAGCCGTTCAACGCTGCTAGTCTCGCTGTTGCTGTGGCGTCTAAGTGAGCGTTCATGTTGTTGCGTTTCGAGATGCTATGGTTGCAGATGTTGTGGTCGGACGTGCCGCGTTTGCTGCAGCTGCAAGCGCTCATGCTGGGTCCCTCTGCTGGTGCAGCTGCTATGCCCCTACCTTTCCTCCGATGGTCCGACGTCGTCAAGGCGCCAGACAATCGGATGGTCCGGCGTCGTCAAGGCGCCAGACCATCGGATAGTCCGGCGTCGTGAAGGCGCCAGACCATCGGATGGTCCGGCGTCGTGAAGGCGCCAGACCATCGGATGGTCCGGCGTCGCCGAGGCGCCAAACCATTGGATGGTCTGGCGTCGTCAAGGCGCCGTACCATCAGGGCTTCCGGCGTACCAGCTGCTCGACGATGCTGTTGTCGTTGTCGTTGTGGCGTCTAAGTGAGCATTGTTGTTGTCGTGATTCGAGATGCTGTGGTTGTAGATGTTGTGGTCGGAGGCGCTTCGTTTGCTGTGCTTGCAGACGCTCATGCTGGGTCCCTCTGCTGGTGCAACTGCTGTATCCCTGCCTTTCCTGCGATGGTCCGGCGTCGTGAAGGCGCCACACCAACGGATGGTCCGGCGTCGTCAAGACGCTAGACCATTGGATGGTCCGGCGTCGTCAAGGCGCCGAGCCATCGAGGCGTCCGGCATACCAGCAGCTCGATGCTGCTGTTCTCGCTGTTGCTCGATGCTGCTGTTCTCGCTGCTGCGTTTGCTGCAGCTGCAGCCGCTCATGCTGGGTCCCTCTGCTGGTGCATGCCTTTCCTGCGATGGTCCGGCGCCGAAAAGGCGCCACACCAGCGAATGGTCCGGCGTCGTCAAGGCGCCAGACTATTGGACGGTCCGGCGTCGTCAAGGCGCCAGACCATTGGATGGTCCGGCGTCGTCAAGGCGCCAGACCATTGGATGGTCCGACGTCGTTAAGGCTCCAGGCCATCCAGGCGTCCGGCATACCAGCAGCTCGACGCTGCTGTTCTCGCTGTTGCTGTGACATCGAACTGAGCGTTGATGTTGTTGTGGTTCGAGATGCTATGGTTGCCGATGTTGTGGTCGGAGGTACTGCGTTTGCTGCAGCTGCAGCCGCTCATGCTGGGTCCCTCTGCGTTTGCTGCAGCTGTGCCCCTGCCTTTCCTCTGATCGTCCGGCGTCGTCAAGGCGCCAGACCATCGAATGGTCCTGCGTCGTCAAGGCGCCAGACCATCGGGTGGTCCGGCGTCGCCGAGGCGCCAGACCATTGGATGGTCTGGGTTCGAGATGCAGTGGTTGTCGACGTTATGGTCGGAGGTGCTGCGTTAGCTGCAGCTTCAGCCGCTCATGCAGGGTCCCTCTGCGTTTGCTGCAGCTGTGCCCCTGCCTTTCCTCCGATGGTCCGGCGTTGTCAAGGCGCCAGACCATCGGATGGTCCGGTGTCGCCGAGGCGCCAAACCATTGGATGGTCCGGGTTCGAGATGCTGTGGTTGTCGACGTTGTGGTCGGAGGTGCTGCGTTAGCTGCAGCTGCAGCCGTTCATGCTGGGTCCCTCTGCGTTTGCTGCAATTGTGCCCCTGCCTTCCTGTGACGNGTTGTGGTCGGAGGTGCTGCGTTAGCTGCAGCTGCAGCCGTTCATGCTGGGTCCCTCTGCGTTTGCTGCAATTGTGCCCCTGCCTTCCTGTGACGTCTAACTGAGCATTGATGTTGTTGTGGTTCGAGATGCTGTGGTTGTCGATGTTGTGGTCGGAGGTGCTGCGTTAGCTGCAGCTGCAGCCG